TATAGTGGCATTGGCCTTCCCATTGTGTTTGTGGCACACTCACCAGGGTAGAGTGGCATTGGCCTCCCCATTGAGTCTGTGGCACACTCACCCAGCGTATAGTGGCATTGGCCTTCCCATTGTGTTTGTGGCACACTCATCAGGGTATAGTGGCATTAGCCTCCCCATTGCGTTTGTGGCACACTCACCCAGGGTATAGTGGCATTAGCTTCCCCATTTGAGTCTGTGTTGTATATTAATTTGCATGCATGTCCTATATTTCCAGAAATTGTTGATCTTTTGATCAAGTATATCTTCATAAATAATTTTACCTCTCTTTGGAGGCCCATATGTTTAATAATTTGGCCAACAATAGATTATGACATGCATTTATCAGTTCAAAACTTCTCAGCCTGATGGGGGTCATTGTACGCTTTCAATCGCTGACGTTGTAGCGATCGGGCTGCTTGAAGTACACACCACGGCATGATTTCAATCTACTAGGTGCGTCCACACTGTCATGCTTGCTGCAGACATTGTGTGAAATAAGTAATGCAATCACCCAAGTGTGACTGTGTGTAAATTTCATAGTAAGCTGGGTCTTTGCAGTACTAACAATCGGTTGAAATGTAGCAGGCCCAAGTCAAAACAAACACAAGTCAAAATAGTATAGTTAATGTCTAATTGACACCCTTGCTCCGCTCTCTTAGATCATGAGCACTGTTATCAGTGATAATAGTGAGTGATGGGAACTAAAAGTTAGCTATGCCTAGCTATGTTTGTTCTGTTGCACTACTTAATACTGTAAATGTAATTTCGCTATTTTCGCTGATCAGTAAAATCTGCTTAATTAAATTTACGTGAACATGTAAAATAACAATAAAACTCATTGTTTCTATGACAAATTCGTGAAATTAGAACACCAGGAATATGCTCAAAACATCAAAATAGTGAAATTAAATGTCAGTGAAAACACAGTCCCTCTGATAGAGGGACTGTGGTGAAAATAAATGGTTTAACAGTAGCTGCAGTGTAAAGTACGCCCTCTAGTGTTGTCAAAGATTATATCACCAGTTATCCATTCATTTATTATTTCTGTGGATTTGTGCAGATTATTAATGTCTAGACAGTTTGTATATCTGTCCCCACGTGGAAAGTAGAGTTTACAAATATCCGGTGAACTGGAACGGAGAAATGGAAATGATGGAAGATGATCTTTTCAGCCAACTCAATCTAACTCTGAACTTCTGAACTCAGTGAGAGGTTGTCTTCTTGAATTTGACAACATTTCTGAATGTTTATTAGTTTTGAACAGATGCAATAAAATATGACTTACTTAAAACAAACTGATTTGTAAAGGGATTTACTAGCGAAGCGAACCTCTTTTACAAAAATAACAGTAGCAATCTGACTTTGTGTTTGTGTTTGTATATAGAGTGAAAAATTGATTTGTATTGACAAGCAATTTCTCTGCTGGAGTCCAAATGTTTGATGCCAAGGGGTATCCCAGGGGTCATTGCAACTATTCTAATTTGTAAACCAATGCCATTTTCACCAAGCCAAGTTTACTCAATATCAAGGCTATGTTTTACTTTGTAAATTTTACAAACCGAAAAACGTTTTGAAAATTCAAGTTTACTTATTAACTAAAATTCAGCTTGAATGCTTCGAAATATTTTATCATTCTATAATATTTACTAAATGTATATTTCTACTGAAACTGGTGTTTACTAAGAATTTGATGCCAAGTAACAAATGTTTAACAATTTTTGAACTTCAATGGCAACTGCTTGCATTGTTTCAAATAATTGCCAAATTCTCATTGATAATGAATTTGTATCCTCAGAATGTACCAGGATGTTTAACTATTAACCTATTAGATGATTGGACTAAGATCAATACATTTTTTATTTTACCCCAGGAATAAAGACGGTTGATGGAACAGCAGTGAAAGGCGAAGATTTCAATGGAAAGTCTGCCAGGCAGGTTCAGTTCAACCCAGGACAGACTGTGGGTAATTGGAGAGTGAAGATTTTAAAAGATGATGAGTTTGAAGAAGTGGAAACATTCCAGTTAATCCTGCATGATCCTGTGATGGGTGCATTGGAACATCCAGACGTAGCTCTTGTGGAAATACACGATTATGAAGACGGTTAGTATTACCGGTAACTGTATTTTTCTAATAACAAGTCAATATTGGAAAAAAAAGTTATGTAAAACATTTAAAAAAAAATTACTTCAATTAGAAAAATATATATTAACAAAAAGTAGATTTTAGCGATGTATTCACAATCGGAAAATATGAACCAGTAGTCATACTAAACCAAAGACATGGCTAGAGGAGAGATTGTGTAATTATTCAATGCAAATGAGATGTACTTTATTATATCTTTATTCTATCTAAGCATTGCAAAATAACATGAACAAGTAAAAACATCAAGTAATTTGAAATTTGCGGATCACAATAATACGCCCATTAGCAAGTCATACTAGTACATGCGACTGCATGAAACTAAGACAGCAAAACCCTCCTAGAAAAAGTAGTTGCTATTTTA